CACTGCCATCACTTGGTCCAGCCCACGGGATGAAGCAGAAGCAATCTTTCTCTCAGAGTCATTCCAGGCACCCGAACTTCCAAAGGATGCATTTTCTTCCAGCCAGAAAACAACGCCCCTCCCCCCAGTGTCTGTAATAAAACCCTCACCCAAACCAGGGCCATAAAAACAAGCCCAAGGCATCAAGAAACTTGCTGCCCCAGGAATTCTGGGAAAGAGCCAAACCCATCCTATGCCCTGGGACCTAGGGGTTAGCTTACTTGTAACAGGTAATTGTTCTGGCCCTGTTGAAAGTGGGAGCTCACTCCCAGGACAAGGTATGAATATATTCATTGGATCTCTGAGCTTATGACCCCTACTCCTCCTGCTACTCTCCCCAAACTGAACTACCCACACTAATATAGTGAGGAATTAAATACCAATAGAACCTGGTGGGAACAGACCATTTTCAAACCATAGCAGGTGGTTATGAGAAATTCAAGCATCAGTTTATTACATAAAAGCAGGCTAATGTCTTTCTTTCTTTTTCCTTTCATTAACACATTCATACAATTTTGTAATACTCAGAAATTCCAATATATAGTTACCACACAATTTGTTATTCCATCCCGAAACACGTACTCAAAGCTTTGAAAATGGATACCTAAAAACTGATGTTTATGATAACATTCGGAACAGTAAGCAGATGTAGAAACAATGAAAATACTGGTCCATGGATGAATAGATAAATGAAATGTGGCATATTCATATAATGAGATATTGTCATATAAAAAGACGTTACAGCCGGGCGATGGTGGCGCATGCCTTTAATCCCAGCACTCGGGAGGCAGAGGCAGGCGGATCTCTGTGAGTTCGAGACCAGCCTGGTCTACAGAGCTAGTTCCAGGACAGGCTCCAAAGCCACAGAGAAACCCTGTCTCAAAAAAAAAAAAAAAAACCAAAAAAAAAAAAAAAGATGTTACAACATGGGTAGATCTTGAAAACACTGTGCTGGGTAAAGGGAGTCAGGTAAATGGTCACATAACTTTTGATGCTTCTCCATGGAATATTCAGAAGAGTTGTATCCACAGAGGCAGGAAGCTGACAATAGTTGTCCGCAGGGAGGGAAAGAAGGAAATGGGGAGTGAGTTCTTAATGAGTCGGTGGTCTCCTTTAAAAGTTGTAGTGATGTTATGTTTGTAGTCTAACAAATAAAGCTTGCCTGAAGGTCAGAGAGCAGAGCTACATCACTAGTTAGTCATAGAGGCCAGATGGTGGTGGCACAAACCTTTAATTTCAGCACCTGAGAGACAGAGACAGTAGATCTCTGTGAGATCAAGGCCACCCTGGGCTCACAAGATTGAGTCTGTCTAAAAGAGAAACAGCTCACACAAAGGTGATCCTGGCTCTTGGGATCACATGTCCTTAATCCCAGTACTAGGGAGGTGGTGATATGGCTGGGAGGAGAGAGGAATATAAGGCAGGAGGAGACAGGAGCTCAGATGCAGTCTGAGGATTCAGTCAGAGATGCAGTCTCTTTCTTAGACAGAGCTTTCAGTCTGAGGATTCGTAGAGACAGGATCGTCCACCTTGTTTGAGCACTGGTAGAGGGAAGAACTCCCTAGGTTGGCTGCTCTGCTTCTCCCATCCTTCAGTTTTCTCCCCAGGTTTAATTATTAAGAACAATTAGAATTTGCGCTACAGGGAGTGATGAAAATGTTTGGGGACTAGATAGAGGTGACAGTTGTGCAGTAATATGAGTGTCTTAAATACCATTGGTATACTTTAACAAGGCTAATTTTATTTCACTAAGAAAAGAATTTCATTTCAGTAAGATAAGCCAATATCAAAACTAAATCTACCGATCTGGAAAAACAGACTCTGTTTGGACCAGGGCCAGAAAGGCTAGTCTTCTAGGAAATACCACAAGTGGGATCTTTGACCAGACTATTGGGTTCCGAAAATCATGTACACAAAGTTTTTCAGTGAAAGCTGATGCCAAGATTGTACAAGACAGTTGATCATAAATGCCTCCCTCAATCAAATTCTCAGAGACATGGAGTTAAGTAAATTTGAGATTGTATTCCCTGTCAAGTATCTGGGTGCAGCTAAGATACAGTTTCATGCTTTAACACTCAGCCATCCTGGAAGCTGGGGTAATGTTCATCTGGAAAATAAGGAACAAGCCACAAATGATGGCAAGTCAGTGACAGGGCTGGGGAGGTTCGCCCGGGGAAATGTCATAGTGTCACGTCTGCTTAAACACCAAAACCGAGGGGAATTACAACCCTGTATTAGTTCCCTACGATAAATCATGCCCTCAGCACCCACAAAGAAAGGGTTTTGTTGTTGTGTTGTAGACCAAATGAGATCATGCTTACAAAACTTCTTGTAAAACATAAATTTGCATATTAGTATAATGGTCATGTTTTATTCATGTGTGGCAGTAACCAACATGTAAATACCATACTTGGATGTCATTTTCATATACTATGTATTATTCATTGTTCTCATAAGAATTTCTTAAGTATTTGTTATTTGCTAAGTAGGGAAGGCAATATGTCAACATTTTAAAAGAATACATTGAGGTTCCGAGAGCCTAAGTTTCGTGCTTGGGTGTATAGCTTGGAGACGGAGACCTAAATTTAGTTCCTGGTTCATTCAAAAACCCAAAGTCCTGAAATGACCAAGATCTGTGGTTGATCTGCATTAAGTCACAATGTGATTACTACCTAGGGCAAACTTTGAACAAGTCTATTTCCGTCTCTGTAGAAGAGTTTTGATTGTTTTTACATGGAATTACCAGGAACCGTACTACTAACATAGACAGGCACATGACTGCCTTTGCATTACATTTACTGAGTGCGCCTTGTGCATTAGGCCCTGCACTAAGTATCGCGTGGACAGTTAATCATAGTCATCCATGGAGAATTTTGTATATACAGAAAGGAAGGCTCAGAAACATCGATTTATCCAAAGTTAGAGAAGAAAATAAAAGTCGTCTAGCAATCCTTGCAGAAGTATATTTTAGAGTTCATGACAGTTAAGGTAGGATCAATAGATATTGTATTAGTTACTTTACACAATATTCAACCAAAATGTCTGACCATAGGAACTTAAGGAAGGGTTTATCCAGGCTTACAGTTTGAGGTCAAAGTTCATGGCAGCCAAGGAATGAAGCTGAAGCCTGAGGCAGCCACCAGGCCAGGGAGTATATAGCACCAGGTGGCTACCGTGGCCAGGAAGCAGAAAGTATGGATGTTTTGTGCTGAGTTCACTTTCTCCTTTTTCTCCAATCTAGTATTCCAGGCCACTGAATGGGCCCACTTTGAGTTAAGGTTCAGGGTCTTCTCACATCAATTAGCCAAACCCAGATAATCCTTTACAGCTTTTTTGTTTGTTTAGATCCAGACAGGTTGACACTGCTAATCAGTGCAGATCCTGGGGTTCCAAGAGGAACCTACAGCGTGGATAATTATGTTGAACTAAGATAAAAAATAGTAGAAAATACAGAGCCAATGTTCAGTTTTATATAACACCAAAGCACAGATGAACTACTTTGCTATAGACGCCCAGTAGGTTTGTGATAATTTGATTTCCAATCCAAAAGTTAAGGTAATAAATTTGGATCATTCTAACTATAATATAGTGTCAGATACTCTTACCAATCATAGATTCAGGTCCACTTGTGACATTTGAAGTCTCAGGGACAAAGAAAAGAGGGAAGTAGTCTTTCATATGGAAGCTTTATTTGAAGACAAGGCAATATTTGCTAGAAATCAAGAATTGAGGTTAATATGTATTTTTTCATACTTTTTTTCTACTGTGGAATGCTGGGTATTAAAAGGCTAGGATCTCTGTTTTTGACTAGCTTATTCCATATAGATACTTTTATATTATAAGGTAGAGCAACTCTGATAAAAGCTATGGGAATGTTTCATACATAGTGCTAGAAGTGCCTACCAGTTTCTAGGGCTTAAGTACTTAAAAAAATATTAGCTATGTTAGGATTTGAGAAAAGGGAGGTACTCTTTACTATAATTGTTTTTTTGGGGGGAGAAAGTTTGTCACCTTACCAGGCATCTTTCCCATGCCCTGAATATTAATCTTATTCTATTATAGTCTGAAGCTCACCACCTAATTCAACAAATGCGTATTGTGCTTCTAGTGTTGAAAACAATAGACGCAAAGTTCCTCTGTAGACGAGCTTACAGCCAAAGGGGGCAATAAAATATTTCAAAACAAATAAAAATGTTTATTAATTATTGTTTGGATAGGTGTGAAGAGAGCAGTAGAATGGTGAGCTTGTCTTTCTTCAGCCAAAATGAATCAGACGATAGATAGGCTCTTTGATTTCTCCATGACTTTTTAAGGTCATCATCATGCTCAGAAAAGGAAAAACACTTTTAAAAAGTTAATTACGTGTGTGCACACATCTACAGAGTAGTTATGACTTTTGAAAACTGTCTTGTGAACGATCTATTCCATTTCTTCCGAAAGAAGTCTCTGAAAGTCATTTAAAAAAACTATACGCAAAGACAAAATGAAAAGGGAACCTAGAGTCAGGCAGCAAAACTGCCAAGCCGAGGTCTCTCCTCTGTCCTCTCGGTGTGGTCCCAGCGGGGATCCGAACTAGAGGAGCGTCGCCCGCCGTGAACTTCAGGGCGGACGGCCTCTGCACGCCCGCTGCCCGGCCCGGTGGCGGGACCCCGGGGAAGAGGTCAAGGTGTGGCTGTGAGAGTGGCGGCCGGCGGGTGGCTGTGGAAGCCCGGGGCGCGGGGCGGCGACAGCGGGGACACGCCGGCGCCCGAGGTTGGAGCGGCGGGCAGGGCCGGGCCGGGCCGGGCGAGCCGCCGCCGCCGCCGGCGCTCAGGTGGCGCTTTCCCGCTCAGGTGAGCTCCTCCCGCGCCTCCCATTGGCCGAGGCACCCGTGGCGCTGGCAGGGCGACGCAGCCCGGTCTAGTTCAGGGTCTAGGGCGGCGCGTCACTTCCGGTAGCGCGGAGCCTGTAAAACACCCTGGAGAGAAAATGGCGGCGGCGACGGCGGCGGCGGCCTCGGCGCCCCAGCAGCTTTCGGATGAAGAGCTCTTCAGTCAGCTCCGCCGTTACGGGCTGTCTCCGGGCCCGGTGACGGAGAGCACGCGGCCGGTCTACCTCAAGAAGCTGAAGAAGCTTCGCGAGGAGGAGCAGCAGCAGCAGCACCGGGCGGGGGGCCGCGGCACCAAGACGCGGAACAGCAATAACAATAACACGGCGGCCGCCACGGTCGCGGTCGCGGGGTCGGCGGCGGCGGTGGCGGGCGTGGGGGTCCGGCCGGGCCCGGGCGACCTGTCGTACTCACGGACCCCTGCGGGCCTCGGCCCCCTGGGAGGACCCGGGGGCGCGGCGGGCGTCCCCGCGGCGGCGGGCAGCAAAGTGCTGCTGGGCTTCAGCTCGGACGAGTCGGACGCGGAGGCCAGTCCGCGAGAGCAGGCCGGCGGCGGCGGCGGCGGGGGCGGGGGCGGCGGGGCCGGCGCGCGGAGGGACCGGGCTGCGCTCCAGTACCGCGGGCTCCGAGCGCCGCCGGCGCCCCTGGCCGCCAGCGAGGTGACTAACAGCGGCCACCCGGCCGAGCGCAGGAAGCCGCACTCGTGGTGGGGGGCGCGGAGGCCCGGCGCGTCCGAGCCGCAGCCGCCGTCGGGCAACGACGGCGCCGCGGAGGTCGTGGACGAGGAGGTGGGCGACGGCGGCGACGAGAGGGATCCCGAGGCCGACGAGCCGCTGTGGGCCGGCCGAGCGGTGAACGGCAGCCGGCTCCTCCCGTACAGCTGCCGGGAGCACTACTCGGACTCGGAGGAGGAGGACGACGGCGACGTGGCCTCCGGCAGACAGGTATTAAAGGACGACTCCCTTGCCCGGCACCGACCCAGACGGAGCCATAGTAAGCCTTTCTCGGCGCTGACGGCTAAATCTGGCGGCAGCCGGCAGGAGACCTCGGTTCAGGGAGGGGGAGGACAGGCGATGAATGACAGGGCGGCGGCCGCCGGGAGTCTAGACAGGAGCCGAACCCTCGAGGAGGCGGCGGCCGAGCCGGGAGGAGGGTGCGACCCAGTGGACTCCAGCCCCATCCCTCGGTTCCGGGCCGGCGCGAAGAAGCTGGCCCCGCCGATCCCCGACATGGACTCAACCTTGGAGTCACCCACAGGTTCCCTTCACAAAACCAACAATCACATAGGCGGTGGGGCCTTCGGTGTGGAGCCCCCCAGTGTCTACGCCAACAGCCTCCCTCCCAGTGCGGCCGCGGCCGCCCCTCCGTCACTCAGGATCAACCATGCCAATCATACGGGCTCCAATCACACCTACCTGAAAAAGGCATATGGCAAGCCGAAGCTCTGCGAGCCTGAGGAGGAACTTCTTCAGCAGTTCAAACGGGAAGAGGTGTCTCCGACGGGGAGCTTCAGTGCGCACTACTTGTCCATGTTTCTCCTGACTGCTGCCTGCTTATTTTTTCTAATACTGGGACTGACTTACCTAGGAATGAGAGGGACGGGCGCACCCGAGGATGGAGGACTCCGTAAGTATTAAGTGAACTCTGAGGGCCCCTATTGTCAAATGCAACGTTGCTAGTGGTGACCTTTACCTACAAGAAATTTGTTTAACACCGAAAAAAAACCACAGAATACATGCATCGTCTTTCTATTGAGAAGGAACAGTATTACCAATAGCAGAATGATATCTTAGGTCTGGTTTTTAAGTTTTTCTGCATGGTGTATTGTTAAATTCAAAACAGCTTACCGAAGAAGAAAACAATACTAGTAAGAGGCACTTGAGTGTCTTAGTTTTTAGTAACTGCGGATGTCGTTTGCTCACGAGGTTTGAAGTGTTACCATTTTTTAAGCGGTGCCATACACGCAATGTTTGCTTTTTTAAACGCGTTATGTTTGAAGAGAGTAATGTACAGTTTCTTGGAATTCTGGTACTCACAATATAGGTAGGTCTATAGTTGAGAGGACACACCTCTTAATTCACTTCTCAGTCGAGAAGACAGTCACGGTAACTTAGCACGTGGAACTTGAAGTCATTTTTCCCGGGTAGGCAGGCGTGTGCATTCATTACACCAGTCTTCTCTGGACTACCTCATCAAGACACAGCGCTAGTAGGTCACATCTTTCAAAGACGGTAACCACTGTGTGTTCCGGCCGACAGAAGGATGAAGTAATTGGTGTGTGCTATTTTAGACTGCATGGTCAGAGGGGTTGCTGTTTGAGGTAGACCTAAAGCTGGAAAAAAGAAAACAAAGTAGCATTGTAGAGAGACTGCTAGACATTCTGGGCAGGGATCACAAGAAGGGGAAAGGACTTGAATGGGGCAGAAGACTTGCTGTAGTTACTATCGTCGGAACCTCCTTTCCTAATCTAGATAACCATGCTAATATTGACTAGGATGAGATTATTAAGATTGGATGTAAATTTGTGTATAATGGACTGTTAGGTTTCTTCTCATTTACCCTGACGATTTTCTCCTAATACGAATTTAGAGTATATGATTTGTATTTATAAAGCTGACTTACTGTATATCTTATTTCACAGTAGTGGGATGGATGTAGCTAACAGACTCAGTAGTGTGAGCTTTGATTTCGGTATAACTAAGTCCAAGGTTTAAATACATAAATGACCACAATACTGTTGAATTATAGGCTTGCAAGAGCAGTCCTTGCTTGCTTTAATTGGCTCTCTGGGAGCTAGAGTGATGTGCTTACTGTGTCCTGCCTTAAATATTTGAGAGGGAAAAAAAAATAGCATTCTGGAAGTCAAACTCAGAAGTTAAATGACATTACCTGTCATTAGTCGCTTTTTTTGCATGTTTGTTTTTCTGGCCCTGAGTCAGCCATCTGGCCATTATCTGAAACCCAAGTGTCTTCCCTGGTCTTCCCAACAACTCTGAGAGAAAGCTGTTCCTATGAGTTGATTTTAGATTTTTATCTAACTACAAAGCCCATATTTTTAACATTTTGTGTGATATCTGTAGATCGTGTTATAGATAAGAGGGTACCTTTATTGTTCGTAAGAAAATAATAGAACATTTGGTAGGAATTCATGTGGAATTACTGATGAGACAAATTATTAAAGGTCACTTTCATATCTTTTTCCACCACTTAAGGTGATGAATGAGTATTGTTCTATCAGGCACTAAAATTTCGAGTTGGAAAGGCATGTTGGGACTCTTCTCTCCCCTTTCCTTCCCTCCCCTCCCCTCTTCTCTCCTCTCCTCTCCTTTCTCTTCTTTTCCTTTCTTTTCTTTCCATGAAGAAAATGGTCCATGGATGTCCTGGATGGAAAACTGAGGGTAAGTAGTTGAGATGATCGAGGACTTGGCTGGAAGAGCTTCATTCTTATATGCTAACGGATAGAAATATCTGCCAACTTTGTAGTTGTGAGGATCAACTGAGATAATTTATTAAGCGTGAGATATTTATTAGAAGTTCAGATGAAGTTTGCCGTATTTTTGGTAAATTACAGTGTATATGTAAGAAGGTTATTAATGTGAATTATGTTTACTGTGTTTTCTAGTCTATTTAACATTATCAATTCCGTTAGCTCTACCTTGAAGCAGTTGATGCAGAAGTCCAATGAATCTCCTGTGTAATTGACATGCTGTAAAGCATGGCAGAAAGAAGTGCCTGCTAGTTCTGTTAGTTTGGTCACTTAATGGCATTAGGGTTTTCAGACTGAACGTTTTCACTCTCTGTATTCTGAATCCTTTGTCTATTTCAATGTTTAGCCATAGCATTCATTGGTCAAATAGTGTAAGTTTTACTATAAGTAATAGTTTGACCAGAAGATTGTAGGGTTATATGTGACTGTAAGCTTTTATTAGTTATTATTTTAATTACTTTATGTGTAATGGTCTTTTAAATTTTTTTAAGTAAAAAGTTCTTAATTATTTTGGTCTTTGCAATTTTTCATTAGTATTTTAATTATTTAAATTACTTTTCCTCATTAAATTTCTGAGTTTGCTTTCATGCTGTAGAGTTAGAGATGAGCTAAGATGACCTAAGCTTTACCAATTCCAGGATTGACATTTTAACTTTAAATACTACCAGGACGACGCACACATCAGCCTGCAGTAAAACTGTCCTACACATGATCAAATCATGACATCGCACTAAAAAAAAAAAAGAGAAAACAGAATAGATTATCTATTGTAGATTCATGGTTATTATTTACAAATTATTCTTCAATAACAAAAGACATTTTTGTAGACAAGAAGAGTGTAATTATATATCCCTTTCTAATTTTGCGGGACTTCCTGTTCACTTATAACAGAAATAGTAGCTCCTTCCAGAACTTCCTTTATATTTTTCGTATAAATATAGGTGTGTTGATTTTCATCCAGATAGTATGTGTTAGTTTTCCTTTAAGTGCCTACCATGCCAATAACTTTCCAACAAAGAGGAGTGTTGAACAATATGTGGGTACATGGCAGACGAAATCACCTTCAGAGCCTACGTACCGGGAGAAAGGTGAAAAATAAGCATTTTAGTCTTGTGTTAGGTTTTGCTGGCCTTTAGCACACGGAAACACTAGTATCTTTAGCGAGCTGGGGTGGGGTGGGGAGTGTGACACTATAGACAGGTTCTAGAGGTTCTCCATTGACTAGAAGAGCTCTTTGGCAGATAAACAAGCTGTGTGTTGAGGGGTCAGAAAGAATGGCTGGTGTTGCTGGACTGTGAGTGAAGGGAAATGGCACACGATGAAGTCAGTTTGGCATAGGTGAAGTCATCATGAAAGAGTCTGGATTTTAAGTGACATTATTCTGTATATATTAAGCAGCTTGTATTTCCATTTAACATTATGTCATAGGTATCTTTTCCATGAGCTGATTTAAGTGTAAAGATGTGTTTTAAACATTGCTCTCACCACGGGTCTTTCTCTCATTCCGTTAAGTGTTAAAGTCTGTGCTGTTCTGAAACTGCTCGTGTCTATATTCTCTAGCCGTGCTCTCTTCTTCCCTTCCTGCTAGCCATTTAGTCAGCGGAGGACTGTCACCAGTCTGCCTGCAGCCGCCAGTCACCCAGCTGCTCTCCTTTGCCTCCTCGGCTGTGTACTCCTGCAGACTTGCCCGGCTCCTAGTTTTCACACTTGCCTCTGCCCCTGCTGTGAATAGTTTATCTTGAGTGCCATTGTTTATACCTGTTCCTAGGGTGTTTCATCCATTCTCAGGTACTACCTCTGTTTGTATTCTTTGATAAACGCCCCTTCTGAATGCTAGACTTATTTGTTGATTACACATCTTTTGGACATCCCAAGTACCAGCACCATCCAGCATTTTCTGTGCTGTCACCTTGGTTTTGCCCTCTGGTTACTGTTGTGATACTGGTGCTTCCACGTGTGTCCAGAGCCCAAGAGAGAAACTTGGGTTTCTAGATTCCTTCCTATCCTTCTTACTACCTTCTTCCCTGATTAGTTTGGGTGTCTGGTAATTGTAGTTTCTATGCATCTTTTCAGTCTTTTTGTTGTTTTGTTTTTTTGAGACAGGGTTTCACTGTGTAGCCCTGGCTGTCCTGGGACTTGCTCTGTGAACCAGACTGGCCTTGAATTTAAGAGATCCACCTGCTTCAGCCTCCCCAGTGCTGGGATTAAAGGCCTACTCCACCACTGCCCAGCTCAGTCTTTGTTCCTATCACTTTTTTGTGAGGGCAGTAGCCCTCACAGTCCATTTCTGTGCTAGAGCGGTATTCCTAAAGCATCCATGTAAGTTAGTCTCTTGTTTAAAGTCACTGGCCCAATTTAAATTCGGTTAAACTGTCCTGAGATTCTGCTTGTTCTTCCTAGCTTCATGGACTACTAGTCATTGAGTATGGAATGACATTTTTTTTTTTTTTGGTTTTTCGAGACAGGGTTTCTCTGCAGCTTTGGAGCCTGTCCTGGAACTAGCTCTGTAGACCAGGCTGGTCTCGAACTCACAGAGATCCACCTGCCTCTGCCTCTGCCTCCCGAGTGCTGGGATTAAAGGTGTGCGCCACCACCACCCGGCTGGAATGACATTTTATATCTTCGAGCAGACTGTTCTTTCCCTCTCCTACTCTTAGAAGTGTGTTTTGTGAGCATTTCGTCCTGCTTGTCCAAGTTTGGATCATCGCTTTGTGCTCGTGTAGGAGCGTCTTCATCCTCCAAAGTGTTTAGTACACTGTATGATTGTGTGAGTCTACCATGGCAGGCAGTTTATACTTCTTAGGTCAATCTTCCTGTAGGTCAGGTACAGGTTTTATTATTTAGTTTGGATTTGAATTTCAGTTTTCTGTTCTGTGACTTAATGGATTGTCTGTTGTTAAAAAATGAGGGTGTTTGATACCTCCCTGGAGGTGGCTTTAAGTACTAAATGTACTTACAATGTACATTTATAATAATGTATAATATATGTCAAATGTTTAGTGTTATTGAAGAAGATGGAAATTATTATAGTATCCTTGGCACAAATTTGTGACCCAATAAATTTTGAATAAGTGATCACATATAAAGTCCCCAGTACAGGCCCTTTATATGTGTAGGTTTGACATCTGTAGATTTAACC